GCGGCAGCACGTCGGAAGGCTTCGAGGATTTCACCGGCGGCGTGACGGAGTGGTACGACCTGCGCAAGCCCCCTGCCGACCTCTACCACATCATCCTCAAGGCGCTGGAGCGCGGCTCGCTGCTCGGCTGCTCCATCGACGTGAGACGGCTTTGCGGTTTTTTGGGGTTAAAAAAAGAAGATTTGGGGGCTCCTGGAGAATAGGCGTGGGGCCGGTAACGCGGGCGCCGGCTCGTTTCCTCGCAGATAACAAGCGCCTTCGACATGGAGGCGGTGACGTTTAAGAAGCTGGTGAAGGGACACGCGTACTCGGTGACGGGGGCCAAGCAGGTGAGATGGCGCCGTTTTGGGGAGAAAACTGGACTTTTTGGGGAGAAAACGGCAGGTTTTGGGGAGAAAATGGGACTTTTTGGGTCGAAAATTGCGATTTTGGGTTGAAAATGGCACTTTTTTGGATCGAAAATAGCACTTTTTGGATCAAAAATGGGACTCTTTGGGTTGAAAATGGCACTTTTTGGGGAGAAAACAGCACTTTTTGGATCAAAAGCAGCGCTTTTGGATCAAAAACTGCATTTTTGGGGTTGGGGTCGAAAAAAGCACTTTTTGGGGAGAAAATGGCACTTTTGGATTGAAAATGGCACTTTTGGGGTCAAAAATGGCAGGCTTTGGGGAGAAAATGGGACTTTTTGGGGAGAAAATGGCAATTTTTTGGGGTCAAAAATGGCACTTTTGGGGAGAAAACGGCATTTTTGGGGTCGAAAATGGCACTTTCTTGGGAGAAAATGGCACTTTTTGGGTTGAAAATGAGACTTTGGGTCAAAAATGGCATTTCTGGGTCGAAAATGGCACTTCTGGGTCAAAACCGGCATTTTTGGGGTCAAAAATGACACTTTTGGGGGAGAAAAAGGCAGGTTTGGGGTTGAAAATTAGACTTTTTAGATTGAAAATACGCTTTTGGGGGAGAAAATGGCATTTTTGGGTCAAAATGGCATTTTTTGGGTTGAAAAATGCAGTTTTTGGGTCAAAATGGCAGGTTTTTGGTTGAAAAAGGCACTTTTTGGGGAGAAAATGGCAGGTTTTGCGTCACGGGCCCTGACCGGCGCTGTTCGCAGATCAACTACCGCGGGCAGTCCCTGGGCTTGATCCGGATGCGCAATCCCTGGGGAGAGGTGGAGTGGACGGGAGCCTGGAGCGACAGGTGGGGACCGCGAGGCTTCGTTAGCGTTAATTAACGAAGTGGCTTGGCCTCAGTGTGAGATCCGTTTGCCGCCCGCAGCTCGTCCGAGTGGAACGCGGTGGAGCCGGCGCTGAGGCAGCAGCTGATGGTGAAAATGGAGGACGGGGAATTCTGGTAAATGACAAATTAAAAAGAAAACAAAAAAACCCCTTTTCCCAGCATTTTTGCGCCAGAAAAAGACGGAAAACTTCCACTGCCTCCCTTTGGCGCTTCCTCTTCCTGCAGGATGTCCTTCAGGGATTTCCTCCGGGAATTCACCCGCCTGGAGATCTGCAACCTCACCCCGGACGCTCTCCAATCCCGCAAATTCCGCAAGTGGAACACGCGGCTCTACGACGGGACGTGGCGGCGCGGCAGCCCGGCCGGCGGCTGCAGGAACTACCCAGGTAGGCGCCGCCGGTGAGGAGTTTCACCTCCACAATCACCGTTTTTGGCATCGGTTTCACCTCTTTTTGCTCTTTTTCCAGCCACTTTCTGGATCAACCCGCAGTTTAAGATCCAGCTGGAGGAGGTGGATGACGACAGGGACGAGGACGGCGGGCGCGAGCCCGGCTGCAGCTTCCTGCTGGCGCTGATGCAGAAGCACCGGCGCCGCGAGCGCCGCTACGGCAAGGACATGGAGACCATCGGGTTCGCC